GAAGGTAACTCTCCATTGCATGTGATATTTCTTATTAGTGTCTTTATCTTAAGTGAAAATATATTTTAAAAACTCATCCTAGACCACCGTATCAATTTCACTATGACATTATTATATAACATTGATAAAGAAAAGATCAATATTGTTTTAGCATAATAATGGTAATGATAATGTTTATCTAATTAACTTTTTAAACTTGCGATTCGGGTCATTAGATTGAAAGTATTTTTTTTAGAAAATTATGAAACTTAATTCTCAATCAATTAAATGTTAATAAATGAAATTAAAAAAATATAATTATACAAAAAAATTCAAAACAAAAAAAAATTAAAAGACGAGGATTTAAATTTAAATACAAAAAATTATTTTTTATTGAAAGATAAAATTAAAAAGAAAAATAAATTTAACAAAAGGCCTAAAAAATCGAAGAATGATGATCAAAATTGAAATAAAAAATATAAAAAGAAATTTAATTGAAAGGTTTAATTGAAAAGGAAAAGTAATTTAACAAAATGTCCAAAAAAACAAGATTAAATAATCAGGATGAAATTAAAAAAAAATAATATATTACCAAATTGAAATTGAACGATAAAATTAAAAGCAAATAAAACTTCTATAAAATGATTAAGAACAAAAAAAAAAAGATTGAAGTTGAAATAATATTAACAAAAAGGACTAAGTGTATCTTCTGGGCAAGAAAAAAGAAAAAAAAAGAAAAGCCTCATAAGTGACAAATAACTCGCTACAAACAACATGTATCATACCAATAACAAAAAGATATGATAATGCTTTCAATGATACAGTAAAAAGGTACTTTTTATATTAAATTTTCTTACACCCTATTCATAACGCATAGGTGCCTCCTATGCATTAATGGTTGTGTCATATATGCATACACACTTTTCCAATAATTTAGATGATATTTAATCTATGTTAAAATACTAAATTTCCCTTCATGAAACCAACAATAACAAAATAACAATAATGAAAAGACCAAAAGGCCCTCGATGCACGAAAATGTATTTTAAAAATTAAAAAAGACATAAATATTATTTTCTATTAGTTTATAAAAGCGTGATTTGGAGGGTATTTTAATTATTTTTTATGTTTAAACAATATAAAAAGATATATATACCCTTTGTCAATTATTTAATGACTAGTGGGTACTGTGAAAAGACCAAAATACCAACCAATATCAAGATATTTGGTTTTTTTTTTTTCAGGGTAAAGATATTATTAAATTATATATACCCTTTGTCAATTATTTAATGACTTGTTTGAAAGTAAATCTAGTTAACTTAATTGAGTTGATTAAACTTAAAGAAACATAATTAAATTAATTTTAATTTTTTTTAAAAATAATGTTGTTTTGATCTCAATTAGTAGGAATTGCCAAGGAAAGAAGACCTTAAATAGATGTTAAATATAATGTTTGGCATTTTCTCATGGGTATACATTTTTGTCACATAAGAAGAAACATATAGAAGTCTTCTATGCAATTTGGTTTGATGGTATGATATATCTACATCAACATGAACATTCGACAAACAAATTTGTGTCTTTCTATAAGAATAAAACAATATTAAGAATTCCACTTTGTTTGTTTGGAGAACATGTACGAGAGAGCACATGTGAAAAGACATAACATGGAAAGATAACCTTATTTTGTTGCAGGGCAATAGGAAAGGCAGTTTCCAGTTTTAATATAGAAGGAAACCCTAAATGTTCCTCTTGCATTTTTTTTCTCGGATATGCTTCAAGGGTCTGGTTCTGGTGTCACAGATAAATTTTATACAATTTGCAATCTTGTATTTTGAATCTCATTATTGCTTCATAATGAAATGAAATACTAATATTTGATTAATTATATTTTTACAAATTTTAACTCGAAAGTGAATATTATATTTTAAAGGAACAAAAGTTTATCATTTCTTTGAGAGTTATGTTATTAATTAAATCCAGCTTTGTTTATTAAATAATTTATGGATATAAAACCTGAGTCGAATCATAAATATACTAGATAAGAGTTGATTTAATTAAAATTCAGTTGAGATTCAATTTGATTTTTTTCCCCCTAAAACAAAACCATTTTTAACTATTTTTTTGGTTAAACCTTGAAATAATATCATTTTAAATTAATTTAAATTAACCAATTTAATTTAAATTTTAGAACTTATTTATTTAAGTAGAAAATATCATTTTTAAACTGTGCTTTAAAATAAAAAAATACAATTTAATTTAGATTTTAAATCTTAACTTCGATCATATTTTATATATACCAAATGAAAATTGACCCCATTAAAACTTAGATGAGATCTAATTTGACTTTTTTTTTTCTAAAAATCCCAGTCTTAACTTTTTTTTTGTGTTAAACCTTGAAATGATATTATTTTAAATCAACTTAAATTAATTTATCTAATCCAGGTTTTAGAGCATGTATGTTTAAGCCTAAAATATGTCTTTTTAAGTTGGACTTTAAAATAAAATAAAAGTATTATTTTAATTCTTGTAATTTAATTAAAGTGCAGCATTCTGTACGTATAGAAAAACAAGCTTTAAACTAGATAATTATAAACCGGAATCAGCAATTTTATAATTATGCTAAGTAGGAATGACGCAGTGGGGCCAAGAAAGCTACAATAATTTTCAGTTGGTGCGTTGGAAGAAATATTTTTAGTCTGTTGCTGTTGCCTTTTCTGCTGAATTATTAATCTAACCTCTCATGCATTGTTTATACCAATATCCAGTAAACAATCCTAAAGCTTATCGAAAAAGAAGAGAATAATTAATCTCACAAAGCACAAGGTCCAACTAACCACAATCACTTGTTTATTTAGTAATCATGTTCATGATCATCACTGGTACTGGTGCTGTTTCTTTCCATTCTTTTAGGTCAAAATTTTGTCATCTTATAGACCTAATTAACCAAAGCAAGAGTTATGGAAAATCTTGGACCCCTCCATCAATCCAATGGAAAACTTCCATGGTAGAAAGTGAAGGGTAGCGTGTTAAATTCTCCAAAATGGAGACGAACACTCGCATGTAATTTGATATGGAGTCCATGAGGATCCAGCTGGGGTGGGGAGCCCTTGGTCCCCATTCTCTTCAACCTTGTATCATAACTCTTTCATAATAGTAGTTGAGACAAGCTTTTTGGCCACGTAAATTTTTTGGAGAATCCTATGCTCTTGCAAAGAGGAAGCAAGCAATTACCCATGAATATGAAGACTTTTTGCTAAATCCTCTCCCCAAAAAAGAACTCCAAAATCAACAATACCATATGGGTTTGAAAGCCCAGATCAAACCCATCTCAGATGGGACAATGAATGAAGCTCTTGATGCTTGATATGTATGCATGGTTTTTAATTAAAGCCTCTTGCAGTTTCAGCTGGCTCCTTCCATAGTCGTCGCTACCTTCTTTAATCCATAGCCATAGCCCATAGGGTGTCTGAAAGCTATCGGACTGCGAGCACTTAGAGCCTGGTTTCTATGTTTCAAAAACGTTTTTAAAAAAATTTGAAATTTTTTTATTTTTTTATTAACTTCAAATTAATATATTTTTAATGTTTTCAAATCATTTTAATGTGCTGATGTCAAAAATAATTTTTTAAAAATAAAAAAATATCGTTAGCATGTATTTTGACACGAAAAGCTATTTGAAAAGCAACAACAACCACACTTCCAAATAGGTTCTTAGATTCGAAGGAGTGACAACTTCTTTTTATCATTACGAATGGTGATTTGTTACTGTATCATACAGAAAATAGCAGAGTTTCATATTTTTTATTTTGAAAATATAAAAATTATTTTAAAATTATTACAGAGATAGGTTTATTTTATAGATTTGTCCATTCTATCTTATAAAACTAACTAAAGGAAAAAGGTTTCGCTCATGGATCAATAAGTCTAGCAACGCTAGCTTTTGCAACCATTGTCTTGCCCTTTTTTTCTTTAAAAATAAAATATGGATGAAGTAATTGTATTGAGAAATAATTTTAATTCAATAATTTAAATTTGTTAGGTTAGATTTTAAGATATAATTTATATTATTTTCTAACATATTTCTTCAAATGAAAATCTTTTGAACTTAAAACTTGTACAAACTTATATTATACTTAATTTTTATTAAATAAATAGAAATGATGAGATTTGAACTTGTAACCGCTTGATCATTAAGACTCTAATACTATATCAAGAAACCATCTCAACACAATAGCTTAAGCTATTAAGTTAGATTTTAGAATATAATTTATATTATTTTTTAATAAATTAGAGGGGTGTAATTTAATTGGTTAGATTTTATATTTATTTTTTAAAGATTACTAGTTTTGTATCTTATGATTTCAGGGCTATTAAATATTTACATGGTTTTTAACTTAGTCAAGGTACACACAAGCTAATCCGAACAATCATATTAATAATAATAAATAAATAAAAACAGTTGAAGCTTTTAATGCCTTAAATCATGTATATATTGCCAAATTAAGTTGCGAACAATGTATGTTTCCTTGCGAGAATTGAACTAGTTTTGTAGATGAGAAAATTGTTGCCATCACTCGACGGTTTATGCATGAATGCATCACACAGAATCTCTACGCCCGTCATGCTCATTGTTCATCATCTCACCCAGGTGATGATGTCCTCACGTAAAGGCACAACTATCTTCAAAATTTGTCATCCATGTTAACATTTTTCTTTTTTAGAAAAATAGTTTTATCAAGACCAACATATATAGACACACACACACACCCAAAATGAAATTCATTGGAAATAAGTTCTCAATTATAATGAGATTTTCAATCGAGTCCTTGAAGCATAAAATCAAGCAATTAATGAAATTATCAGATTTTAATATATATTGTAACCCTTAAAAAAATAGCAAAATCTATTTGTTGCGTTATTTTCTTGTGCCAATATTAGTGGTTTTCTTAGCTGATAAAAAAAATCCCATTCGAAAGCGATAGAAAACAAAATATTTATTCAATGTAAGTCCTTAATTATGAATAATTCTAACATAAGGCCATTCAAAACCCATAGTTTTATTTGTTTTTAATGTTCATTAATATACTTAATAATGACATATAAACAAAAGAATAAACAATAACAATGATTTTATTAATAAGTTGGGTGGTGGCAAATAGAAAAAAAATAAAAATTAAGATATTCTCAGTACAGTCCTTGCAAGTGATTTCTTTTTCTTCCATGGCAAGGGGACCATGAAAGAAAAGGAAATCACTTCCAAGTATGCTCTAATTCTTATTTTCTCTTATCTCCACCACCCAACTTATATAAATTTATTAAATAATCATTTCAACTCAATATGTTAAGTTTTTAGATGAGGTTTTCATATATATTTATATAATTCTTTGACACGTTCATTTAAAAAAAAAAAACTCTTTAAATTTAAAATTTATACGAGTTCACCTTCTAATTGTATTTTTTGTGCTAGGTATTCCTTGACCCAAGCAACATCAATTCGTAGGTATGAAGACAGTGGAGAAGATTAACTAATTAGACGGTTGAAGATAAAAAGGAGAATTCCTTTTGTAATAGATAATTCCCCACTAAGAATCCCGTGCATCTTGTCCACGAATCTAGCTACATTGCTGACTCTTTTCTTCTTTCAGTCAAATTTGGGTGTTCAATCATTCTCACTAATTAATTAGCTTTCAAGACGAGAAAATGTCAAACCCAATTCACCGAGCTAATGACAAAAAGTCCCTATGAAGACCTCACAAGAGAAGAATTCTACAAGAAGCACCAAATTCTTCACCAAGAAAGCTTCATGTTCAACAAGAAGAACATGAAAATCTTCAGACAATCTTGGCTTTCGGATTCCACTTCTCAGCCAAAAGGGATTGTAGCCATGGTCCATGGCTACTCCTCAGAAAGCAGTTGGCTCAATGAGCTAACTGCTGTAGCCATAGCCAAAGCAGGATTCTTGGATTTTGCACTCACATGGGTTAGCTGGTCATATATATCACAAATATTCAATATGTTGTTAGTGATTGCATTAAGTTTTCTGACTCAGTCAAGGCTAGCAACCCTAAGTTGCCAGCCTTTCTATATGGTGAATCACTAGGGGCAATTTCAATCCTTATCTCTTTGAAGCAAGGGTATGCATGGGATGGCTTGATATTAAGCAGTGCTATGTGTGGCATTTCACCAAAATTTAAGCCCATGTGACCCTAGAGAAACTACTTTTGGCGGCACTGTTTGCACCCACATGGAAAGTGGTGATCTCAAAGCCAGTCTCTAGAAGATCATACAAGGTAGAATGGAAGAGAAGGTTGGTTGCCAACAACCCAAACCGCCGGAACTCAGGGAAGCTGGCGGCGGCAACTGCATTAAAGTTTTTTGAGTGTTTCTGAGTACGTAAGGATGCATTGCTATGACCTAATTATAGGTTCCATTTGTAATGGTGCATGGGGAGGATGATTTTGTATGTGATTTTAGGTCAGCTAGCTTTGTGCATGAATCAGCTTCAAGCAAGGACAAGACATTGAAGATCTTTCCTGGTATGTGGCATGTATTGATTGGTGAGCCTAAGGAAAATGTGGAGCTTGTATTTGAGACTATCCTGTCCTGGTTAGAAGATCATGCTGCCAAGGCTAAAAAAACCAAGACCACAACAAGTTAATTACAAGTTCTTTGTTTTTGTTTCTATCGATAATTAAATTGATAGAAAGGAAATGTTATCATCACACATATACTTGGTAAAATTAGTATATTTCCAGGAAAATGAAGAAGGATATCCTCTAAAGAAAGGAAATCATTTTAATAAAAGAGTCGCTGTCCCTTTCCCCATCAGCTGCATGGTCATTTAATGGCCGGTGTATACTACATCTATGTGGCAAGTGACGATCTCTCTCTTATGCCAGCAGCTATTTATAGATTTTCTAGCCAGCCAGCTCTCTAATATTGATTTCCCATAGCTAATTGATCCATGGTACTCCTCTCTTCTGCATGCTTTCATTTCATACATCCAAGTCTGTTCACTTTTGTGATAAATACGTACCATGCAAGTCATTGTGTATGCATGCATGCATGTATGAGCATGGTGCCTTTCGCTTCTCAATTATTGAAAGCTAGCTGTGTTTCTGTTTGTTGACGTAGGATATATATATAGAAATCCACGAGCTTGGCTACTTGCCTTCTAGTCATAATTCAAGGCTCTCTCCAATACCGTATAAAATCCTCCTTCCTCTACCTTAAAGCTCAATTTTTTTAAATAGTAAAAAGCTACCTTAAAGCTCTTCCTTGTAGATGAACGGGATGGATCCACCCAGCTTGCATCGGAAATTCAATCTCTCTGCTTTGACAAGCTAGCTTCAAATCAAAGCTCGACTACGATGAGCGAAACTACATGTTATCCAACAAAGATCTAAAATTAATTCGTATTAATAAACGAAAGTCATCTACATGTGATTTCGTCCCTTCCATCAAAACAAAGCTAGAAGCTAGGACTCTCCCCTGTGAAAGGGGATTTGAAAAGTCTGACCTAAGGTGTTGGAAGGTGTCTCCTGAGTGTTAGGCAATGAAAATGGAAGGATTTCATCTAAAGATTTAGTGCTCAAAATGTATAATGCTCAAACTGGGACTAGAACAAACAAGGGGAGCAAACACTAGCAGTTCCACCAAGCCATGTTATAAATATGGCACCTAGATGTGCTTAATTTCTAGAAATTTAATTGCTAGCTAAGAAAAGCTGGAATCTCCATTGAAAAATCACGTATAATCTGTTGTCTTTAATAGTACTTCATATCTTTTCTCAATCCTTTTATTTGTGCTATAACGTCTCGCGTTTCACACAAGCTAATTCTTCTTTACTTTATTAAGTGACTAGGGATATTCTCGGACCACCTTGCGCACCAAGACTAAATTCTCGGAAAACTAGGATATGGCATTTCACATAAGATTAGCCATTACTGAATTGGATGGACTTTCTGAGCTAGGAAACTATGATGAGGCACAGTGGTTTCAATGTTTTTACTTTGTTTTTTGCTAGCAAAAATGGTACATAATGCAATAAATTATTCGTAACAATCAAAGATTGCTGGGAAAGAATTGTAGATGAGACGTAACTTCCCTCCGAACTTGGTCCCTTCTTATCTTACCAGTTGTTGTCAGTGGAAATGGCTTCCTCCATAAAATAAATAGCTTTGGCACTTTAAACCTGCAAAAGATTTATCAGTAAGCCACTAAACATCTTCAAAATACACGTAAAAAGGAAGAAAATGCAACTGTTGAATCTTTGCTGCTGAGTATTTATCGATGTGAATAGGCTATTAAGTTGACATTTCTGAAACGGATTTAAAGAGAGCAGCAATACCCGGTTAATTTCTTTTCCCTACAGTAGTCTCTGAGAACCTCTCTGCATAAGGTTAGATTGTTTTCAGCAGATTGTTTACAGTTGTTATTGGTCCATTGCCAACTTTGTCTTAATTTAATGCAAGCAACAACCATCTCTGTCAAACGAGCTTCTGGAACTCCCACTACAACAGTGGCAATAACTCCTGGATGTTGCAACAACATTGCTTCCACCTGTAACATTAAAGCAACTACACTTTATATTAAGGACTGTGAATGCATAAATCCAGTTACTGATCCATTAAAGACATGAAGCTCAAATTTATTATTGCACGATTCCACAGTTCAGAGGATCCAGCAAATCACTCTGCCCATGATTGTCCCAAAGTTAGATTCAGTCGTTATTGCTTGATTATAAAGTAGATTATGAAGGCAGATATATATCACACTTACCTCTTCAGGGTAAATGTTCTCTCCACCGCTCTTGATTTGGGCATTCTGTCGTCCAACGAGCCATACATTGCCACAGTCATCTATGGAACCAATGTCACCTGTGTCAAGCCAAAAATCATTGGTGGATTCTGTTGCCTTCATTGGATTCTTATCCCAATATCTAAGCATTAGATGGGGACCTCTAGTTAAAATTCTGCCAATGGTAGAAGGTTCGTCAGCACTTATCTTTAATTCAACATGTGGTGGAGGTTTGCCAACACATACACCATGTGGTTGGTGAACTGAACTGGATTTTGTTTTATCCACTGTCTGCAGAGTCTGAGCACGGGTTTGAAGTGTTGGATCATGAAGGGTCATGAAAGTTAGAGAAGAACATGTCTCTGTCATCCCTTCATAAAAAGGGTGAGAGTGAAAAAACAAGAGAAAGACACTAATAAATCTAGTGGTATAAGAAACATAGCTCATCCAAATTGATTTGTACTTTCAAGAACAATTTAACATTGGAAATATTGTATGGAAATACAATTTTTTTCCATAGATGTGTAAATATGGTTGTAATTTCTTCGTACATGGTTTGTTTGAGTGGCTCCATTCAGTTCAGCTACACTCTAATAGCCTCATGTGGCCTGGATTGTCTATGAAGCACTAGGATCAACAATTGTTAAATTGACCTAGTCCATTGGCCACCATTGTAGTGGTAAATGTTATGCAGAAACAATGAAAGTAATTGCAGAACAGCCTAAAGCATCCACAAGCCCACTCCTCTAACACATTAGAAATCAACAATTCAAAATCAAATTCACATCTACAATGTTTCATCAAAAAATTGATCCCAAAAAGAAGATAACATGCCAAAAGATTATATTAAAGAAGAAGATAACAAAGATAGACAAGTTGCTACCGTAAGCTGAAAGAAGCTTAGCTCTTGGAAACAATTCGGTGGCATCTTTCATAAGCTCAGCTGACAGACTCCCACCTCCATTTAATAGCTTCTTCACATATTGCCTCCCTGTCCAAGTTTCTTTCAACCTGACAAAATATTTCAAAATAGTAATTTACTACTATGAGACATAATGATAAAATCACAAATAAAGCAGTGTGGTCAATTTTGGGGGAAAATGAAGAAAACTAGACAAAAGAATTCTGAAGAGCTTAGCAACAGAGAAAAAAATTTAAGTGTGTGCTGACAAATTGCAGCGTAAATGTTAATCATGTAGTGCATGTCGTATGAAATGTAATAATGAATTCCAATGACAAAAACTACTGCGTAAAGATAGCTCTATCCAAGCAGAGGTTAGACACGACTCTGTTAATCTCCATTACAGGGGGGACTGCAACTTTACCTGGTTAAGGAAATCAAATCAGCCATCATTGCTGGGACAGTGATTAGAGAAGTAACACAATGTTGCTTGATAGCTTCTACTGCTAACGAAGCCTCAAATTTTGGTATCAAGACATGGCAACCTCCAACCATTAGCATGGTTATGGCTGATGACAATCCACCAATATGGCACAATGGAGCAGTGTGCAAATAAACCTGAAGAAGTCCAAGGAATAAGGAATCCAGCCAACAGTCATTTCTAGCTACCAATGCTACCATTCTCCAAATTATAAGAAACTCTAGAAATATCCTCAATGGTTTGCATTATCTTTATCCCTTTTAATTGCCATGTTTTTCCAGTTACAAATTCAGATCCATAGAAAACAATTCTTCAGAGCTGCATACATCATCCTCACTGTAACCAACAACAGCGACTTTCGCTAGGGACTGTACTATCATAGCTGAATGGCTTATGATAACTCCCTTGGGCCTTCCAGTGGTTCCTAAAGCCATAAAAAAATTTCAGCCAAAATAATAATTAGATTGCTGGATCATGCCAGTTAAGGATCCACACAGGAGGAACCTGAAGAATGGTACTAGAATTTAAACTTCAATCATATTTAAGATACTATTTTTTTTACTCAACTTATTTTCCCTGCTGTTGAAGTGATTCTGTAAGTAAAATGTGCTCTTAGATGAACTAATTTAAGAGAAAAGCACAAGGCATTTCATAGAAGCACTTTCATTAGGAATCTTCAACAACGAAACATATCATAAAGGACACTCAAAATTCGAACCAACAGTGGCCAAGTTTAGCTCAAAACATAAAATTTTGAACTGGTCTCAAAGGGTTTGTCAAGTGTGATTGGTGACTGCCAGTTGCTGACCTATCATGTAGCAAGGATTTGACATCTATTGCTTGCACATAGTTGATAAAACAAACAGGAGTAGTAGAAGCTGTTGGAATTGTATGAAAGAATTGTCATTTCTGTCAGTTTAATTGCTCAGATCTAAAGAGCTTTCCTTTCTGTGAAGTCATGAAAAGTGCTTTATCAATTGGAATCTAAAAAAGGGAAGCAGCTGATCTTTGAGATCCCTACGCGACATACTGGGATGGATGATTGAGAGGAAGCAGGGAAACCCTCCCTACAAGGGGGGTATGGTTGCTGTACACAAATTCAGAATTGTATTTATGCATTTTACCTCTAACATGCACCAACAACACTCTGAAGATAAATTTGGTAAAAATATAATATTCCTCTGAACATCAAGAGATTTCTTCTTGAATTTGCTTCCACACAGATCATAGGATTTGTACCTGAAGTGAAGCATGTTATGACAGCGCCCTCAGGTGCCCAGGAGTAATCCAGCTGTTTAGTTCCTATGACATGCTTCCTAAGTGTTTCAGTAGTTAACACTGTCAAAATGAAGAAAGCAACAACAACATTACATCTGTCAGAACATGGAAGAAGAATAAAACCAGATGAAGAGATGTGAAGGAAGCTACACACCATTTGATGTTTTTACAAAACCAGAAGAAGGGGAACCTGAAAAAACATGCCACTTTACAGAAGGTAGAGCATTACTCTGGAGCTCTTGATACCAGTGTTTACAGCTCTCATCAGTGACCAGCATCACTGGCCTTACCATTAACATTG